TGCTGGCTGGGGAATTCTGGGAGTCGAAGTCCACACGCCTTAAAGTTGCCAGGTTGAGAAACACTGGTCTAGAATGTTATAATAGAAATGATTAATAAATTCTATCTAGACTGAGCAGAATCTGGAAGAAACAATTGCTTAGTAGTAGAGCGTGCAATCTTGTAGAAGATCCTGAGTTTAGTGCCTCGATGATCTGGTTAGAAATGGTGTGGAAAACCCCTGACATTTTGGACAGTTGCTGTCATTTAGAATAACTGGTATTTGGCTCGACGACCTATAGTCTGACCTAGTATAACAGCTCTCTGTGCTCCTAGTAATTATTTGCTTCCTGTTACATAGAAGACCATGTTTGGTTTATTTTCTCTGTGACTGGTGCAAGTGGGAGAAATGGCTAAATTGGGGTATGTACTAGAAATGGAGGTTCTCATCCTGTTACTCTAGTCTTTATAAGTGCCTTGCTGTGATACCTTGGAGTAGAAGCCATCTCTCTGGCATTCAGAACAGAAAATGCAAAGAAAGAAAGAAAAAATGATGTTTAGAATCCAATATACATTTGATGAGATCTTTAACTTTAGGCTCCCAGCAGTCTGCTTGAAGCCCTGGAGCAGCATCTGGCTTCTTTGGAAGGAAAGAAGACAAAGGAAGTTTCAGCTGCCAGCAGGTAATTGCATGAGGCTTGCAATTGGTGACTACTTGTTATCTTGGAGCATTGGCCAAAGTCTAGCACGTGCCTGTCTCTTGTCTGGAGCTGTGTTTTCTTACTTTGACCAAATCTGGCAGGTTTCACGCATTGTGAAGACAGCTGGCAGATTAATTCTAGTTCTGTCTGTTCTGCAAGTGACAGATTGCAGTAGTACAGCTGGTTAAAAAATGGGTTATGATACCAGAGGCTGGCAATTAAAGAAAACTTACTGAACAGTTCTTGCTGCAATCCAAAAATTGTGATGCTGTCACCTGATGTTAAAGCAGGGAAAGGAGCCTGAGGTTGTTAATTCCTGACAGAATTCAGGAATTATATATCTTAATATTTGTATTTCAGCTTATTTATTCATGTAACTTAGGTACTATCCCACTTCCTTGGAGATCTGTCCCCATATTTGCAGGTACTCTAATCATTTTTATTTGATTGGCCAAGTATGTGTAGTACTGCAGTCTGAATGCCTCTCCACCTCTTTTTGTCACACTGATTTGAGAACGTTTAATTGTGTAAAATGAGTTTCATTCTCTTCCCGGCTAGCCCCCTGCCCCCAAGAAAATAGAGTGATTCTTCTCTGGGCTTCTTGTTCAGGCTCAGAGCAGCTAAATGAGTTTGTGTGTGTGTGTTTTCTCTAAAATTCAGAGCAAGTACTCTCTCCAGTGCGGTTTCCACCCTGGCCAACACAGGAATGTCCTTCAGTAAAATGGATGAAAGAGAGAAGCAGCAGGCTCTGGAGGAGGAGCAAGCGAGACTGCAGGCTCTGAAGGTGGTAGACATAAGCGGGTCTGACATGTATAAACTGTTGTTGATATTATTTATTAAATTTATATGCCACCCCACTCGCAGCAACTCTGAGCAGTTATGGTAGCAACCTCTTACACATCCCTAAGAAAAGCTTCCTTAATTTTAGCCTTGCATCAAACACGAGTGAGAAAAGGACCACTCTCTTGCTTTTGCCATTGGGTGAATATTTGGGAGAGTTGCTGCTCCTTTTTCACGTGGTGTCATCTTAGTCTTAATGCAACACGCATCTTACGCAGCTTCGATTCACAAGTAGAGCAGAGCTAAGCACTTTTGGGTTCCATTGGCGTCAGCGGGCAAGAGTCAGATAAATTCTTGACCCTTTTCCACTGAAAAGAGGTTTGGCTAAGTCATAACTTTGTAAAATCATGTGAATCATGTAAAAAGTAATCCCATTGCTTTTGGTGGAAAAAGTTAAGCAATCTGTTTTCGCATTTTGCTGGATAGTCCTGTCACAAGATAGGGATGTGGGTTAATTTCCGCAAGATAATGAAGTTTCAGTTCTGGTGTATTCACCCTCTGTATGAGAAAGCTAATGCAGAACCTGTAATTTTTCATAAATATCATTTTGTAGGAACAGCGACTGAGAGAGATTTCTGTGGTTTCCAATTCTACTTCTACATCTGCTTCTCCAAGCACTTTATCAGGAAAAAGTGTGAATACCAATCCCGCCGTTGATCTTTTTGCAGCCCCCGCACCAACCACCAATAGGTATGGGTTTATTTAGAAATGGAAAAGCTACAAAAAAGTAAGAGGAGCTGAACATTCGTGATTTGTTTTGCATTGAAAAATTTACCCAACCGGCTCTGGGGGTTGCTGGGGGCTGAGATGGGGGGGAGTCAGCCAGGGGACATGTGGTTAGAGTCAGAACAGGCCATGAGGGATAGGATGGGAGGCTGAGTGAGGGTAGGCTGCACTCCGGAGACGGGGGTCCCCCCTTCCAGCTTTCAGTCCTCATCCCAAGAGAGCCAGGGTATCAAATCTTTGGAGCCCCATGATTTTAATTGTAGCTCTAGAATGCCAGGTCTCTTTTTAATAAAATTGTCCTTGTTCATGATTTAGTTATGAATGAGGGGGCAGACTGGTTTGTATCAGTCAATCTGTGTGGAAGAGAAGAGGGATGTCCTCCTCTTGGAGTTCTGCCCACAGGGTGGGGGTAGCCGTTGTCATCCATGAGGTTCTGCTGGCATCCAGGGGGGCTGCTCCGCAGAGAACGAGATGTGAGACCTGGGCCTGTTGGATTTGCTGCTTGTGTCCTGCTCCCCCTGTTGGTCAGCACACCTCTGTTCAACCCTCTCGCAGGGATGGAAGCAGAGTTTCCACAGTGCTTGTGCTGGGAGATTTCAACCTGCCTTCCTTCGGCGAGGGGGTGTGAAGCTATGCAAGAGTTAATGGCTGCCATGACAATCATGGACCTGACCCAAGTTACAGAGTCACACCTTAGTTTTTTGTTGTTGTTGTTGTTGTCTTGGACAAGATACAACATGATCTGAAATTGGGGGGGGGGGGACTGAGCTTCGCTCCTTGTCACGGACAGATCACCGTGAAGATTTACAGGTGACCCCCCTCTCTGCAGTGAGGAAAGACCTATTAAATCTGTCCCAGGTGCCTAATGGATCCTGATGATTTTCAGAGGGTGCTTGGGGAGTTTCCTGAGGATCTGGTGGGCAGTTCAGGCAAGAATCTGGTTACTTGCCAAAGTTTCTTAATTTTTTTCAGGACATTTTGGATAAAGGGGAGTCATTTTGTTGCCAGCATTCCTAAAAAAAATTGAGAGTCACATATCCTTGATACCTCAAAATAAATCAACAGTGGGGTTGAAGTGGAACTGAGTTCTTGCTAAGATATTTAAACATTGTGTTGCAGTAAATAAAGTCTCTTGAAGTATTTACTAAGCCAAACTTGTGAAGTTTAAGATACATGCTAGTTTTCTCATTCAGTTTCCCAGTTTCTGGAAGTTGGTTGATTTAAGTTTCAATTTCAGCTTCTTCAAATGTTTATAGCAAGATAATACACAGCAGCTTACTTAAGTATGACCTTTACCTAGCTGGCCTTCTTCTTGAAACTTTCAGCATGCCCAACCTTTCTACTGATCTCTTCGATCTTCAACCTGCATTTGTTCCTACGGTACAAAGTACTCCAGCCATAGCAACGTCAGCAAGCAGTGCCTGGGGAGGTAAGTAACTCTTGTGATTGAAGAGAACAGTGATGTTATTTAGAATTCCTTCCTCTGTCAATTTACATTGAACACCTGAGCACACCCTTAAGCCTCTGTTGCCATGCAACTCAGGTATCTCTTGCTTTCACTAGCAGCTGCTACAGAGAAGTAGCAGCAGATTGTAGCAGCCCACATCTTGAAGGAGAGCTGCTTCTGCACAGAATATGTCGAATTATCTTTGTTGGCTTCCTTGCTTGAACTTTTCATATACAGTGGCTTTTGTGAAACAATTCTTTTCTTCTGACTGGTTTGATTAAAACATTAACTTGAGTGAACTGAGTAGGCTGAGGAGTGTGTGCTTCAGAATTTGAAGTGTAACTGGAGCTGCTTGAGGGAAGGGGTTTTAGTCGAAGAAAGACTTCTATTGTCACAATTTCAGTTCTATCTTAATTAGATAGAACATAGAGCCAGTGTGGAATAGTGGTTAAAATGATAGACTTGAACCGGGGAGACTCTGGTTCAGGTCCTTATTTGGGCACAGAGCTAACTGGGTGACTTTGGACCAGTCACTCTCTCTCAACCTGTCCTACCCCACAGGATTGTTGTTGGACAAAATTAGGGGAGACTGCTATGTATGCTGTCTTGAGCTCCCAGAGAAAAGGTGGGATATAAATTTAATAATTAAATACATTATGATTTGAATGGCTTCATGTTTACTAGCATTCTGATTGTGCTAAAAGTGTATGTGTATGTATCTCTACATACATTGCAATTTCTCAGTTGCACACGCAGAAACAAATTCAGGTTGTATTCTGCCAGCAAAGTTGAATTTCTGATTGTCAATCTGAATTTGCTTCAAGTGCAGTTAAAATTTTCAAGTCCCCCAAGACGTCACACATTCTACAGCAAATTCTGACTGGCTGTACACATCAGGCTAAGCCATAATGTGCTTGTTTGACTTAGTGCAATGTATGAATCTAGCCACTGTGATTTGTAAACCATGTTTTGTGGCTTAGCATGACATGTGAACTGAACCCCTTGTGTCCCAGATTTCAAGAGGTTAGTGGTTAAGATGTGCTTATAAGCAGAGTGCCTCGGGGCCTTTTGAAACACAGTGTTTCCTCTCTTCCTCCCTCTGTCTCCCTGTGTTTTCCTCAGTTCTGCACATAATTAGATCTGCAGCAGCAGGACGTTTGGTTCAGATACTTCATCCCTGGTTCTCCAGATATGAAAAAGTAATAGTCTGATAAAGATCCCAGAGTTTGTCTTCCAGCTCGTGCATTTGCTTTTATATATCAAATCAGCTAGCTATGCTGAAAGCCTAAAGGGGTATTATGATCTAAGAATTCTGTTGTCAAAGTTAAGTCTCTGGAGAACAGCAGCAAGAAAACTGATATGAATTGCAAACAAATTTAAGTTGGTTGAAATCAGATCTCTCTCTCTCTCTTTTAAACAAACAAGTTAAAACCTTGTTTTTCTATATCAGCCTTCCCTAACCTGATAACGTCTAGATGAGTTGGTCTGTAACTTCAAGAATTCCAACTAGCATGTTGGAACACATCTGGAGGGCATCCATTTGGGGAAGAAATGCTTCACATCTGTGAACTCTGCAGACTGGGACTATACTTTCTCTCTTGAATACTACTTGTCTTCTGGTTTTTCTTCTTTCCCTTTCTTATTATCTAATGCTGTCACCTGAAAGGACATTTCTCATCCACAAATGGTTGCGTTGGGTCTCCACCCCATCTGGATGTCTTTGATATGAAGCCGGTTGAAGAAGCTGTAAAAAGTACAACCCCTTTTGTGAGCTCCACCTTTGCCTCCAAACAAACAGTGGAACTATTTAGTGGTAAAAATATTCTCTAATTTCTTTTCAAATAGAAACCGTTAACTTTGGATCTAATATATCTAATGCAATTGAAATTCAATCTCTGCTTAAGTTTCCGCTCAAAAATATATTGCCGTTTCTGTTTAATTCAATGAATGATTATGGTGATTTTCATTTAGACAGCATGTGGCGTATTCTATGAAAAGTGCATGTTTTGTGTTTGGCTTACTTTATAATCATAGTCAAACACGTTGCGATGCCTTTCATTTACTTCTAACATTCTGCACTTAAGTAAATGCTGCCTGCCCTTGCATAAATTCAGCCTTTGCTAGGTCTTTCTGCAGAGATAAGTATAATGGTCATGGCTCCTTCATTTTCTTCCATGTTTTGGAGTCTTTGAGTAGTTTTTGTAGTTCTTTTATGCTGCAAGGTGGTTTAATTCTAACCATCTGACCAATATTTTGGTAGGCTACCCTCTTCATTCAGCATCACAGAAAACGACCTCTTCAACAATCAATGTGGACTTTGATGCTGTATTTGGTGGAAAATCAACTGTAAATGATTTTGGAACTACAGCAGGTGAAGTTGTTGGGTTTTTTGTTTTGTTTTGCTCATGTCTTTTTCGAAGCCACCGGTTACCTGTAATTGTTTAGCTTTAGCTTTATGCTTTTCTAAACAGGGTGATTTTTTAAAAAGCCTTCCTGGAAGAGTTACAGCCTCATCAGCAAGAGGTCAACTTTGCATCCATATTGCTTAATAGAGTGCTTGAATGTGGGGGAGAGAGCGGAAGGGAGAGGAGGGGGTTATAGTACCTAAATAATGATTCTCATTGACTGGTAATATCTTCATTTTGTATTTCAGTAGTGATTCTCTTTTGGAAAAACGTAAATGCTACTTAGTTATAGCTTATAGGACTTTCAGAATTGAAAAGCTGTGCCGGGACAATCCTATTTTGGCTTGTTAACCTGAGATATGAATGAACCTTGCCTGTTTTCACACGACCATTTCATGTCAGAGAGAAAAGGTCAGGAAGTCACCATTAGCCCTTTTAAATCATGGTGTCATACCTGCCTTTGGAAGCCATAAATGAGATTCAGACTTAACATGAAATGTTATTTAACTTTATTTTTGTGGCTTGCGCCCTTGCTTGTGAAAATGAAATACTGAAATTTTGGCATATGGAAGATTGAGAGCTGGTTGCATCTCATAATGTTAGAAAGCCAAGATAAAATTGCCTGCATGTGACCTTAGTTTTTAACGTGTTTCCCTTAATTTTCAGATGATGTATTACAGCCAACAGTAGCTGCACAAAATCAGAGAGGAAATGTAATTGGGCAGCAAAGTGGGAAGATTTTGGCCAATGACCTTGACTCCTCACTTGCTAATCTTGTAGGAAGTAAGCACAACTGTTTTTTTATTTAATTGCATAATCTTTATATAAAGGAATCCTCATTTTTTAATTAAATTATTTGATGTGTTTTCTTGCAGATCTTGGATTTGGAGGGACACCACCCAAAAAGTGAGAACACATACATATTTTTATCTCAAAATAATTGCTTGCAGATTGATAAACAGCTCTTAAATTTATGTTTCTAAGCTGGCTTTCCACAATCTGATCCACTCCAGCAGAACAATTATTATAGGAAATTGGCAGTTGAAGAAGATCACTACATTATGTTGAAACAGAAACATTGTAATATTTCACGTTAGTAAAAAGTATAGATTGAGATCCAAAGTAATGCTTAAGTGAATATACTTGTACATTTACAGCTAGTGAAAAGCATGGAGTCATCTGCATGCTAGCAAGTTTCTGTTCTAGTTGTTCATCCAGATCGCATAATCAGAAAGTTGGATAGCATTGTTTGAATAATGAAAATGAAGAGTGTGTGAATTTCTTTGCTATTCTGCCAATCCCTTTAAACCTTGAGAAAAAAATATTACATTCAAAGATTAACACAGGTCTTGATTTAACGGTTTTTGATTTAGCAGACTTCAAATGCAACAGAAAAAATCGGTCCGTGTATTACATGCTTCTGCTCATTTGTAAAATTCCTTTTTATGCATGCATAAAATGTACAGAGTATGTTAAATGTGCATGCTTAATGGACATTTGCATTTAGCAGTCTTCCCCTATTAGCCTGTTAATAATAGGGTTTGCTGCATATATGTTAACGTGTATTTAAAATATAATTTTGTTTGTCCAACATAACAATCTGTGTTTAAAAACAAATTACATGTAATGATTCATAATCTTAGTGTAAGAAGACACCCACCTTCTTGAACATTTAATACATCTTCTGAGGCCTGCTTCACATATAAGATGGCCGTCAAGAAGACAAAAGGGGCCTTTCTGTTGGGGAGTTCCTGCTTTAGTGGAAATTGTAACCATGCCTGTCTTCAAATTGTCCCAAGTTGTTGAGCTGATTGTGATCTCTGCAACAGCTGAACCTCTGAAATTCATAAGACAGTTGGCTCCCTATCTTGCCAGGCTTGTATCATTTTGGAGGATGCAGTTACTCTTTTTAAAGCCAGGGGCATGGAATTTGATGAAAATTCTGCCAGCTTGCATGGGGTGATAGGAGCTCTAGTCGTCCCTGGGGGTGGTTAGTGCCCTGCTGATGCTCCCTGAGTTATTTGCCAATTCTCCATCATTTTTGGAATTGTTGTTGTTATATTGTATTTTAATTGATTTTATCTCTTCAAGAATTCCCCAGCCAGCATCAAACCAATAAAACATAAAAAATGGCAAGCGTGAGCCCAGAGTCGCTTTCAACGAGATGGGCGGTGACAATTTGATTAAATAAATAAATAAATAAATAAATAAGGCAGTGAAAAGAAATACAGTCATTAACACAGGGGTGAACAAATTCTGACTGACCTTGATGGGTTTTTTTCCTCCCTGTTGAGGGCCACAATGTGTAGGACAATGATGCAAAGTGGTAGGGCCCTGGGATAAGTTAAATCACAGTAAAATATCCTTCATCCAACTCCTTTCAAAGCAAAATTTGCACTGAAAAAAAGCCCACTACTTTTTAACACCTATTTTAGATAGAAAACCATTCTGAGGAATTTTAGTAGTCTTTGTGGCTTTGTGGCTTCCTCCTAATTTTAACGATCAGTATATTGCAGAAGCCCTTGTAGGTTGCTGCATGAAACTGCTTTGCTGTGCAATTTGCTTTAGATCGGATATGCAGTGGAATCAGCCTACAGAGAAGAAACTTACTGGGGGAAACAACTGGCAAGCAAAAACAAGCACCTCAACTACGTGGAACACTGTCCCTGTGCCTCCCGCTCCACAGATGGTAGCATCTTGCCTTTACATACCTTACTTTTTTTTATTTTCAAAATGTGATGTTTGCCTTTCCCCTTGATTTCATAATCTTCTAAGCATTGCAATTATGCGTTCGGAGTTAGGGTGCTGATGGGAAATGATAGAACAGCGTTCCTCAACCTTAGCCATGTTATGATGTGTGGACTCTCAGAATTCCCCAGCCAGCATCAAATCGATAAAACATAAAAAATAAAGATAAAAGATGGCAAGCGTGATTAAGCAAGGGCTCTCCCTCTCCCTCACCGAAGACGTGGTTGAAGAGCCCATTGTCGTGGCTCTTCTAAACAACAGTAGAATGGACTTCCTTGTGAAAATCACTCTAGTTTTGTTACCTTGCCATTTCCAATAATTTTATGTCCTTGGTCTTTTTTGGTATGCTAGAATGGAGTTCCTTTTCCTGGCTGTGTAAATTTTATTATGCTATGAGCCCCTGCTTCAAGTCAGTCTTGACCCTGACCCTAACTCTGGCAACTACACAGACAAGTTTTCTAGGCAACATTTTCAGATGTGGTTTGCCATTGCCTTCTTCCTATGGCTGGGAGAGAGTGATGGGCCTAAGGTCACCCAGTTGGCTTTGGTTGCCTAAAACAGGATTAGAACTCAGGTCTCTGCGCTCCTACTCCAGCACCTTAATCCACTCCTACTTCAGCATCTTAATTATTAGACCAAACCGGTTCTCATGAGCTTTTTACTATTCTGCAAAATACGTCTTTTAAATAGTTTGATTGGTGTTTTCAAAAAAGGTAACAGTCAAATATTACACGCAGATTCTTTTTATTCTTCCATCAAAGGTACCTGCTCCAGTAACCTACCCAGTAAATACACCTCAAGTGCCTGTGTATGGAATGGTAAGTTATTCACGGTGGATAGGTTTATCCCTCTATGGTAGAGATACTCTGTTTTTAATTCCGTATCGCTTCAGTATTGATTTACTTCATCAGGTTTGAAAAGGTTCAGCAGCCCTGCAGTAGACTAGCTTTCCCCAAATGTGTTGGGAAAGTAGTTTTCAGAATCCTCCAGTTGCACTCCCAGCACATCTGGAGGATGTGCAGATGGAGCAAGCCTTCAAACCCTTGCTCAAGCAGTTTCATCTTGACCCCAACCAAATTTGAATCAAGGTGCAGTGTAAAGTTCTACCCGTAGTTCCATCATAGAGAGGATCTTCCATAGGGTCTTCTGGAGTAGGCAGCCATAACAAATATCATGAATTTAATTTAACTTAACTTAACTTAAATTCTTTTTTACTACATGTCTTCCCCCCTCCCCCCAGGTTTTAATATCTGTGATTTTCTAGTCTTAACATGTTCACGTTGTGTAGCATCTGCTTACTCAGGAAGCTTATGCAAGAGTCACGATTTTTATATTAAGCACATGCCATGTTTGAACAATAAATTGGCATAATAGGAAACTAACATATGTTCTGTGGTGGGATTTTTCTCCTTTATGCAATAATGTTAGGACTGTGCACATTTCAGACATTATTCAGCAGACATGCTTTGGGCCTTGCATAAGTGCAGCATCATTCCTAAATGAGAAACAAGAAATAATAAATGCTTCCTGTCTATCCCATAATAATCCAAGCAAAGCTAATGATTAAGCTCAGGGTGGCATCGAATTTTGAGAGTATAAATAATTGGATGGAGTTCAACACTGTTGAGCCATGTTGACTACTCATCAGTCCTGGCTGAAGCCTAGGTATATAGATTTATTCATTTATTTAATTTGTATGGGTGCCCGTCTCAACAAGTGACTCTGGGCAGCAAACGGTCTTATAATAAACTAAAAACAAATCCCATCACAAACACAAAGATTAAAATATTTAGCAGCCGAAGAAGATGTCACAGTTGACAGTTGCTGGCACATCCAGGAGGCCGGACCCATCACACCACTGCCAGGAGGGTTGGGGCCACCCTGATCTCTGGAGGGAGAATATTCCATAGGCAGGTGCTGGGGCAGAAAAGGCATGCCTCCTGGGCCCTGCCAACTGGCATTCCTTGGCCAACAGGACCCGGAGCATTCTCATCCTCCTGGACTGGACTGGATGAGTAGAAACAACTGGGAAGAGACATTCCCTCGTGTAACCCAAGCCATGAAGAGCTTTCAAGGTGACAGCCAGCACCTTGAATTGCACCCAGAAGCACACTGGCGACCAATGCAGCTCACGGAGTAGTGGTATGACATGTGCTGAGTAACCAACACCATTTTCTACCCATGCAGCTGCATTCTGCACCAGCTGAAACCTCCAAATGCTGTTCGAGGGCATTATGGGATACAAACAACACAGCTAAATAATTCTGGGTACTAAGGAGAATTCAGCCAGGACCGACAGGTGGTCAGCATGACTACATTAGGAATATGAGTATGCCCCCGATCTAGTTTTTCAAGTAAACTTACTAAAATACAATTTTGATTCTACCTTATTAGACTCAGAAAAGGGAGGTAAACACATTAAGTGTGATGCCTGCTAGAGTTTGGCACCTCTGTCCTTAGGGCAGCTCGTAAGAAGAGTTGCTAATTTTTCCTTGTGCAGTGACGGCCTGCTAAGGGTGCCATCTTTAGTGAATGCAAATGTAGCATCTGTTCCAGTAGTTGTTCAAAGATGGCCCGTCCTTTGGGAAACCTTGTGGCGTCTCCTGAATGGGAGAGACTGCCGTACGCTCTTGTACGGTTCACATTTGTGGCAGCAGGGGATGAATTACATTGCGATCTTTGGGAGGTGAGTTATTTTCAAGCTGAGAGAGCAGCGAGTGGCGTTATTCATTCTTCTTTCTATATTCAGGTACCTACTCAGATCGGAACTGCCCCTATTATGGCACCTCAGCCTATGATTTATACCCAGACAGGTCTAAGGCCAAACAATCCTTTTGCACCTATCTCTGGAACACAGGTTTGTTTTTTCCTGAATGAGAATGTGGATGTTAAAATGTTCTGTATCTTGCCACAACCCCCTCAATGTTCTGCTGAATTGGTCCTTAGCTCATTCTTTAGCTTACATTCCATTTTTTGGAAAGATTGGAAATCATACGTGTTAGCGCTTCAGGCATAATCGATCCTTGCCATTATTATTTATAGAGAGAGATTTATTTTATGGACTGGTGCCATAGACTGCTAGAGTCAGTAAAGACTCTGAGCAGTTTATAAAACCCTCTCTGTGAAGAGGATTAAAAAACAATACATCAGTACAATTACAATCATAATAAACTTTGCACCAAAGAAATAAACATCAAACACGTACTATAGTAGAGGGCATCATTCTTCACAGTAATTCCACACCCAAGCCCCTTTGGGGTAGCTAAGTTTCCCTCCCTGTTAAGAGGGAAATAGTCTGATCTTGGGCATGCCGCGCCAAGGAATTAGGGCATGACTGCGGAAGCTCATCTCTGAAGTCGCTGCAGATGAAACAGATCGTTCGTATTTTTTCCATGTTTCATGTACCAGCTTAGCATTCGTTTTGATGTAAGTGAATCTATTTTTAGATTATGTATTAAAATGGAGCATGGGTTTTTCAAGGAAAGAGTAATCTTCTAAGCAAGAAGTGTATATTTCAGGTTAATCAAATCATCTTCAAATTAAACTGATTTGAATGTCTTGCTTAAGAGATCTAATTAATTTTATTGCTAAAAAATTGAGTGCTTCTTCCAGAAACTGTTTCTTTCAACAGTTTCGTTGCCTTAAGTTAGATTCCCATGGTGACATGATCTACATAGTACACACAAAATCAAGTGTGAGATAGCTCCTTGCTTCGTAAACAGTCTAAAATGGTAAAATCCAGAAGACAGCGATATGGGCAAGACTGCAGAGAAAGTGAGAGAGATGAACTGCGAAAAGGTGTTTATGGAAGAATACATGCAAATTTGGGGTAGTTAGGAAGCAGCTAACTGTAACCACTGCCCAGTTAAGATCAAGATCAAATCGTCATGGGACCACAGTGGGGGAAAAAAAAGAGACTCATATAAAGGATGCTAGGAATAGAGCTCCAAGCGTAAGAACCATCAAGGGACAATAGTAAATTTGTTTCAGAATAGGCCATGTTAGGGCATTGGGTGAGATTATGAGTGGATTTATAAAAGCAGTGCAAAGAAGAGGAAAAAGGAACAGACAAACTCTTAAGATCCCAGGAGAACCCTGACACACAGAGAGAAAAACAGCAACAACAACTGAAAGGTCTCTCCTGCCTTTCACGAAGTAGAGATATCAAACAGATGATAGGTCGAAGCCAGCTTCTAGCTGGTTTGCTGTTATATAGTACAGATTGTGGAGAGTTGGGTGAAGAGCCAAAAGAAAACAAGAGATGGTAGGGATGAACAAAACACTTCTAAGGTCCTGGAAGCAAAAAATGGAAAGGGAGGTACATGATTAGTAATATGAGTAGAATAACAATGTAGAAATTAGATGGGAAAAATAGAAGAAGGCATTGGGTTGTGATAGATCCTGCAGTTGGCCTACAGGCTTGTTTTTCCAAGACTTGGCAGATGAATACTTCCCTCACCACCACCGCCCTTTGGCTTAGGAGAGGTTTTCAGGATGAATCATATACGTTTATGAAAGTGACCATTTAAATTTAAAAAAGTTGTTCTGGCCTTTTTCAGCAGTGGGCATATCATCAGCTGGTTGTGCTAAGAACTCTTGCAAGGGCAAAACCAGTCAATCATTTGCTTCTCTCATTTATCTCAGCTTTCTGATTTTCCGAAACTCCTCAGTAGCTTGAGTATACTTGTGAATAGCTTTAATTTGGCTTTGTTTCTTACGTTACAGATTCAGTTTATGTAGATCTGCCAAAACAACAAGACTCTTTGACAACCAAATATTGGTAGAAAGAAGATGAAACCTTCAGACTGCAGCCTTTGCCAGAGCTCATACTTGCTCCGCATATATTATAAAATTACTTTTAATTGCTGTGCTTTAGATTCTTTTTATAACAGTCCCTATGGTCTGAAATCATGTTTGGGTTTGGATGGTGTTAAGACTGTTTTCCATGAGAAGGTGAAGTATTTTGAAGCTAAAGGTCATCCAGGTTCGAACAGAATATCCTACCTTTTTGCTTTTAAAGACAAGCTTACTTAGGAATCCTTAGAAGGATTTCCTTTTAATTGTGAGCCTGTAATAAGCAAGCGGACAGCCTCATACTTCTATTTATTTTCTCCCTGAACTCGGTGGCTGATGTAATCATGGGCACTACAAAGCAAAGCTGAGCAATAAACCTTTTAGATACTCTGAAGGAGCACCCAAAACAATAAGTACTCTGACAGGACTAAATCTGGCATTACAAGAAAAGATGGTGTCTTGGGAAACCAGGCTGTTTCTCCTCACATTAGGCTGGCTTCTAATTCATGGATTTTATACTGTGAGTTTTCAAATGCTGTGAATCAACTTTAATTACATTGGCCATTAATGTTCATTTAATTGGCCATTAATGGAAAACTAGTTAATTGGCATTGAAGCAGAGGGTTGCTTGGCTAAGCAGCAGAGCTCCACTTGGGCCCTGTGGGGGGGAAATAGTGTATTACAGAGCAACGTGTGCAGTTCTAGTGTGAATGGCAGCAGGTGCGAGGCCTTACACAGGTAGTAGGGTTGTCTCTGACTCTAGTGAGAGTTGCCTACTATCCTGGGAAAAACAGTAAACGGTCACCCAGAAGCCGTAAGTCTGGAAGGTGGCTTGCCCTCATGAGGGCATCAGCATTTTTCTTTGTGGTTCATCACGTACCGTGGTGCACTTTAAGAACTGGAAAGGCGTGTTTCTGAATGCTCCATTCATGGTGTAGCCCAGTTTTTGCCGAGAAGGGAGCAAAGGAAAAAGTGCCCGTAACTATGTAAGGTAACTTTTTTTAGGGGAAAGAAGTGTAAATATGTGTAAACCTTTAAGGACAGAATTTCTCCAGAATTGCAGGATTTTTTTTCCCTTTCTCTTTCTGACACATCCAGAACACGAATATTTACTGCTTAAAGACAGATAGCTCAAAATTCCTTTTGTATTGAAAAGCTCAAACTATTATCCCTGAAAATATGTGAGATGTTATTTGCAGTTTAGGAGAGAGAATGTAATGTGATAATACAGCCTGATGGTCCATGATTTTCAGCTCTCCCCCAAAAGTGGTGGTGGTGATGATAACAATAATAAGGATACATTGAACAGTACTATAGGATTTGACACAACCTGTTCAGGATGTATTATCAGGGGAAACTGCAAGAAATTTGGATTTAAAATCCCTTTTTAAAGTCAGAGAAGAGTTCTAAGTAATGGAAGGGTTGACTCTTATATCACTGCCGTGTTCTGGTGTCGAGCCCGTTACCACAGCAATAACAGGACAAAGGCTATCCAGTAGTGCCAGTGTGGCTCTTCTCCCATAAAATCTGCCCCTTTTTGTCAGATATTCTTCAGATATGGCATTTGATCTCGTTCTTTCAAGCATTTGCCAAATTGTGGGTTTTGTTCTTAGGGGAGGGATTTAACAGCAACTGCAACAAAAAAACCATTTTTGCAGATCAGAATGTCAGATTCAGAAAACAATTTTTTCCCCTCTCTACGTGTCTTTTGTGTTTGTTAATATTGTGCCAAGAATGTAAAAAAAAAAAATGCCTGCTTCAAAAAGGATATACTTGTTTTGTCAAGCGAAACATGATTTTTTAAAGAAAATCATTTTTTTACATACGTGTTTGCAGTTTGTAACCACTAACTTTGTATGGATTAAATGTGCAAGTGGAAAAAATGTTTTAGACCAAATCTTCGACATGTACTGGCAAAGACGTAAACTGGATGCATGTAATTAAATGTGGAAAGTGAATTTTCAAGGGCTTTTGGCTTTAATGTATTCTCCAGGTGTGCCCCAAACCAGTATTTATTTGGCCCTTTATAAGCTGGAGGAGTTTATTTGTGGGGCTTGTTTGAATTGATATTTTCATGCATTAATTTAACTAATCCTCATTTAGGATTGCATAATCTCGCTTCCCACCAATTTTCACTCTTTCAATCCAGTTTAGACCAGTACATGTGTTTTAAATAACATAGGTTTTATAATAAATTAAAAATATTTTATCACAGACATTGTGACCATGTGAGGTTTAACACCGTAATATAAGCGGCAAGCTTTTTAACCCCCAGAGATTATTTTCTAATCCTTGAGTTTTAACTATGCTTAATTTATTACATTTACTGGCTGCAACCTTATAGCAGGGAATGTCTTGCAATATCCATCTCATCTGAGGGAGAGAGCAACTTTAGCTCTCCAGATGAAAGTATGTCCTTATGTTATTGCTTGATACAATATTATATACTAATCATTGATTTTATTGTAATTATAATTCATAATAATAACCACAATGCCATTGCAACATACTGATGTATAAAATTTCTAATATTTACAAATTCTTCCTTCTATTCAATGTCCAGTACAGTCCGTAAAAATAGACTTTAACTGTAACTTCTCTGTAGCTTAAGTTATTTGCGGCTCAGCCACTCTGCACAACTTTCTGTGCCTGCAAAATCCTTAACCAGTTCACACACAACCCGTAACAACCTTTTTCTCAGAAGGTACGCATAAGATTTTATTCTTCTTACACCTTTCCGCGATGAACTTCTAAATAAACGTGATGTCCAGCTGACCCTGCAAACAACACAGTCCTTAAGCTACAATTGATAACACGACACTGTGTTTTTGCGCATTTGAATGGTGTGATTTCTTTCAGGATTTCATCCCATCTTTAACAGGTTTAATTTGAGGCTTCTATTTTTATCATATCCAAGTGCTGGATGTGATAATATTTTAGCTGTTTGTAGACAATAAGCACTTTTGCTTTTATTCAGTCAAGGTGTGGTTTCTGAACCGCAGCTGTCCCTAGTCGTGTATCAGCTGTAAATATTAGCAGTGAAATTGGAAGGAATCTCTAGTATGTAGTTCTCTGGGTGATGTTTAAATAATAATGCTTAGTTACCAGACCTTTAATTAGACAAGGTGGGAGTTGTCTGTATCTCCTGACCAGCCACTGTGTCCTGGAATTCCCTCCCATCAAGCTGGCACAAGAGAGACAGCGGAGAAAGTGGCGTCAGGGCACAACGGCCTTGCTGGTAGTGCTTGGGATTGAACGGAATAGCTGACTCTCCAGGAGAGGAATTGCCTCCGTAGAGCAGTTTGGCAGAAGTACGCCTGCACTGAAAAACTGGAACCTTCCTGTCTTCCCGAAGGTGGGCGCAGCATTGCAGTTCCTTGCTGCAAGATCTTTTTTTTTTTTAAAGACAGTAGACCTGGGTAAGTGGTCTGTGTTAATTTTATTGGAAGTGTTTTTGGACCTGCTGCAGTTGGAATTTCCTGCCTTCATGCCAGAAATTACCATTGTACAGGCAACTGTACCATTTTCAACTTCCAGTTGGCTAAAGGTTGTTTACAGTGATATTAGTGTTGTTATAGTTGAATGGTCTTGACATGTTGGACAGTAAGTGTATATGTTGTGCATACTTAACAGTCCCCTCTCCCTGATTTTATATATTTATTTATAGATTGAGATGAACCTCATAGAATGTTATCAGCCGTATCCCAGCTAAATCCAGGAATGCGCCAATCTAAGACTTCAGCACGTGAACGAAGACTGTAACATACCTGACTTGACGTGCATTAGGTTATGATGAGGGCTGTACAGGCCTTCAGAAATTATTCCCAAAAGGTGCTTCGGAGTGTGTGGAGAGTGCAAATGCAACACCGGGCTGCAACTCTGTAGAGCAGTTGTGTCTGCAGGGTTGTGTGGTGGCTCTCTGCTCACGGCCCCAGGAAAAGATGCTACTGCTTTAAAGAGGTGCCAGTAGATGCCATCTTTGTGTTCCTGTGTGCTCCACAGCAATGCAATACATAAAAATGAATGAATGAACAAAAATTTAAGGAGAAAAATCATGTTCAGAATTGGCACCTGCTGATCCGGTGTTGAACACTTCCTTGTAAATACACTGGCGATACTAAGGAAGATTAAGACAATTTCTAATTCATAAATGTAATATTTCATCCATTAATATTTGCATTGCAAAATGCTTCTAGTTCTGGAATGTTTGCTATTAGAGAGATAACATTTCCTTTTATAACGTTCTTCTTAAACCAGTGGTGAATTTTTTAAGATTTCCATTTTTTAAAGAAATGAATCCAAAATAAGATGAATTTATCTGTTTTATGCCACCCATTAGCACTGGTCTAACAATGTAGTTGAATATTTACTGGGAAATTGGTCCAGTTAAGTTCAGCAGGACTTGTTTCCAAGCAATCTCAGTCTGCAATTGGCATGTCCTGGGTTTAGCTGTCAATACTGCTTTTATGATTTGCCAAAATTAGGATAGCAGAACAAGATGAATTTCTGCAGATATTCAGAGATAACATTTATCAAGAGAAAAGGAGTTCTGCATGTTGCAAATACATACACTAATAAGGCCTTTTATGTCAACATCAGTTTCTGTTTCCCCCTTACGATACTAACAAAGGGATTTGGGTTTTATTTTTTCAAAGAGAAGCAGGATGGATCTGAAGGTGGCAAGAGGCCTGTTTGGAACCTTTGCACAGCAGCAGCTCCTCACAGAGCTGTCAGGGGGACAGGGAGACCACTGGCTGGCTTCTAGGAAGTCGAGTGAGATTCTAGCAGAAAATGCTCTTGGGCGCCCTAGCGGGTTATTTTAGGACCACGTACAACGGCAGCATCTCTCTCTGTCCTTCATAGGAAGCAGGGTGCGTAGGGGGGAGTCATATTCAATCTTAAAAAGCATCCAAAAGTGGGGCGAGCTAACGTGCTCTCTCCCTGTGGCCTCCCCTCCCCATGGGCCATCTTCTAAATACCTCTTCCCACCCCCACCCCCCCGAGTCGTTGAAATGAACTTGGTGCAGAGAAACATACTCCAGCTGGTGAACTGCCCAATGCTAACCCTTTGGAGCAAAGTCCTGCAGAATTCCTGATTGGCGTACAGCATGTTGGCGTCATAGTCAAACTGCACTTCCCATCCCAATGTGGCTGGCTGCCACTCTTCTGCCTAGCTGGCCCTAAGAAAATGGGGGTGGGGGGAGCTAGATCGTCATACTTGAAAAAGTCTGTTCTAAATTTAAGGTTCCTTTTTCTAAATACACATTTTACGAAGAACAATAAATATTTTTAGTCCTTTGTATATAGTAAGTACCATTTTTTAAAGGCAAGAAATACTTGGGGTGGTAAAATGTTATCTTTGACTTTAAAATTGAATACAGGGTGTACAGGATCTGGTTTTGTTTTGCTTTTTTGGTTCGGTTTGCTCCTTTTTTATGTGTGGTTTGGGAAAGTTGGGGTATCAGTTTTTGAGTAGAATGCACTGTGGATCAGTGCTTTTATTTGTACATGAAAGGGAATCCTCTTTTCCTCAAGTAGCCTACATTTTGAAGATAACACTGAAATGCTGTGTGTACTGCTCACTTATTTCCATTCTAAAGATTCTATTTTTGAGTAAGGGAAATTGTACATGTTTTCACTGCAGTTGCTAGAAAATGCTTAGAAATAGAAAGGTTGCTTTTGACTCTGGTGTACTTTGACTTCTTGATTGTCAGGTACCAATTGAAAAACGTGTTGTGTCACTCGTTTCCTCTATGGCTGTCTGATGCTCATTTTAAATATTGTAATAACTGGTGCAGTTCCTCTTCTCCCCTCGTCCCAGCCTTTCACAGAAGTTTCTGTAGTGTTCTCCAAAACTGATAAGTCTTTGGATGTAATTGTATTCCTGTATCAAACAGTTGTAGGATTAGAGGGGTAGAAAGGTGCTGAATGTCTTCACCTTTTTCTTCTAATTGGCACTTTCATTGTATTATTGCTGAATCTCCCCCTCGTTCTGGATAGAGAGACTACCTGTTTGCAGGATGAGTCTTTTGTTATACCTGTGTTCAGAGTTGGCAGAATAAATCATCCATTATATTTGAAGCTTTTATTGAAAGGGCAATTGAAATTGTATGATGACTCTGAAATATAAACGATATTACAATTTTGTACTCAGATTTCTTTTTCCAGGGTGTCTTTTTCTGTTTTGCTGTTAAAGCCATAGAAGGCTTGCAGTTTAGCTAGGCTTTAAAGCAGATTTTAGACCAGGTATAGAGTTGGACCCAGACTAAAGTAGTGGCATTTGAATCCTGGTGGAAAAAGTTGTGATGTGATTCCCCTTTAAATAAGTCAGAGCAAAGTGAAAGTGGCTGTCTTGATCTAACTCACCATGCTGAATTAGTGGGGCGCACATACCCATCAGCAAGCTTGTCGTGGGGAGCCTTTGAATAGCCTTCAAGATGATGTTACTTCCCAGCACCCCTTACTGTGACTCATATTGATGGGGGCTGCTGGGAGCTACAGTTGAGCAAGATCTGAAAATTCCCACCTCAGGGACGCTGTGCAGGGGCAGCGTCAGCCTTTGCTGCTTTATCTGGCAGATGACATTGTGTTCTTGAGCATCTTCATCTTAGATGTTTAACTGGCAGAGTGGGAAGGCCAAATTTTCCTGTTTTCATTTTTAAACAATGTCAGATATTAATTATGGATTAATTGTGGATCAAGATTTTTAATTCACCTGCCCTAACCTGCCCCACATGCACTGCTGAAGAAAACTTTCTTCCGTGCCAAAAGGTGAAGAGCCCTTAAGTCACGCTGAGCTCCTGGAGATTACATAGACATGTCCGTGCAGTTTTGGCAACGTTATGGAAGTGGTTTGCCACTGCCTAATTTGGGGGTGTTGTTGTTTTTAAACTTTCTATCTAGTTTACAGCTTGAGGGTTTCTAGTTGATTTCCATCCAAGTACTAATTAGGTCTGACCCTGATTAGGGTTTGTTTGTTTGTTTTAGTTCAGCTAAGATTGGCTAGGTATTGCATCTGCTGTGAAACACCCACATTTGCCAATATCATCAGAGGCTGTTTTTTTCTCCCCGTACAAATAGCAGTGTTTAGAAAAGGGTTATAACTTCTTCTCCATCCACTGTGGCCCTAAATTCCCCTCCCCTTTTTTTTCTTTTAGAAGCACATAAAAAGCAACTGCACATTTCTCACGGTGTCTAGCTCTTAGGGCTTTTTTGTCTTCAGTCGAAGAGCGGCTTAACCGCAAATCTGAGCAAAGTAAATCCCACAGTGGTAGCAGGTTGAGAACACCTCCTGTGCTCGACTTAGTGCCAGACTGCCCACCTGCAAAGTAGAATCGGCACAGCCAAGGGAAGAATTTCGCTTGTCAGTTCTGTCAGGGAGCTTGGTGAGTCAACAGCATGCGTCCAATAATGGTGGAAGCAGTAGGGTCAGTTGTGGCAAACATTCAGTTGTCAGTGTTGTACCACTAATTCTACTTAACCTGTGAACCCAATTTTACAAAGTGCGTATCTGCACCACTAGTACAAGTACTTTGGTTGGGACAAACCCTGTTCTGGAAATAAAGGTAATGGTGCATTTTAAGTAAAGCCTGCCATTCTGTGAGGTCTCCTTGCCACCCCACAGCCCTTGTCTATAGGAAGCCAGCTATATTCAGAAAAATATCCAGCTGTTGAAGTGGTTGAATCCAAATACTGTAGGTGGAAAGCCTTGTAAGATTTTTTCCTTTTTGTTCTCCGAAATGCATATTTTTAAAATTCAAGGGCCAGCAGTAGTTGCCATATTACTTGGATGACAGATGACAAAATCTTTGAATGTTGCCTGAATATCATGTCGCCAAATAACAAAACGTTCAGCTATAGAATAGAAACATGAGGTTATTCAGACAAATTTCTCTCATTCGCTAACTGAAGTTATTGTGAACTTCATACAGTAGCTCTAGTGAAAACCACTTGAACCATTAGTTGTAAATTGCAATTTACCAGGATTGATATTTGTATCTAGATCTTATTTGAAGTAATTGTAAGCCTATAATTAAATCCAAGTACGACTGAAATTCCAAGATGTTTGTGTCAATAAGGCATTATTGAAGGAATGTAGCCTTTGTTTTGGAAATGCTTAATGAATTTCTGCAAAAATGTTTGTATTTTTTTCATATTTGAAATGCTTTTCTAAGTTGACATTTTTGTTCAACATTTGAAATGTAATTAAGTATATCGTGATTTTCTGTATGAACTTCTCAAAATATGTATTTTGCCCGGCTCATGTTAGATTGCAAAGGAGTTGGAGAGCGGATCTAGCCGTGAAAAAAAATTTCAGTCCCTGACCACCCACCCTCCCCAATATTTTTCTGAAATATTTTGTTTGCCATGATAACACTCTGAAGATTCTGGCGCTAACTGGCTTGACAGCATATAAAACAAGGAACTGGTTGAGACTGTTGTATAGACTCCATTTTGTTAATGAAACAGGTTTTGGAAATAAACTTTGGCACAAAGTATTTTGGCTCTGTGTTTCCTATTCAGTCAATGATAATTCTTAACGTTGCACAATCGAAATATTGGTTAGCCAGCTGCGGAGTGCCTACAGTACTACAGCTATTGAACAGGAAGGCTTTTTGAAAAAGAGAAGAACGCCTTGCCTTAGAAGGCCCAATCCTGTTATTCCATGATAAACCTGTAGCAGAAGACCATGCCTTGCAGCCCAACTTCCTGAAATGGTTTCAAAGGAGTGGGCAGACAGTGACTACTTTGGGGCTTGTACTAGTTTTCAGAAAGTAATAACTCAGCTCTTCTAGTTTTTACTAAGATAACCGGCCTGCAGTTTGTCCCATGTGCTGCCTTACGTGGTGGGAGTGGTAGTCCAGCCAATCCAGATGATGCCTCATTCAGGTAACCCGAAGGGCCTGGCGTACGTGCCGAACAAAGCAGATTCTGCCTCCCATCGTTGTGTTATCTGCACGTGCTGAAGGGCTTTCTGGAGCTCAGCGTCTAAAACATGATGTGCCATCAAGTTGTGTCAGTCTATCCCCAACTGGTTCTTTCAAGTCTTCCAAAGGTGCACCCATCGCCACCATAACTCGAGTCCCTCCCCCTTGCTGCTGCTGGTCCTCCTCTCTTCTCTCCTTCCACCTTTCCCAGCATTAGAGCCTTCTGCAGAGAGCTCAGTCTTCAGAATTAGAGGATGGGAAACAAGGAAAACAGGAAGCAGGGGTCCAAAAGAAGCGAACTAGTTATTTTAGAGAGAGCCCTTTGGCCAAGGATGCGGGGGGCGCACACTTAGTAATTTGGGAACCAAGGCTCCGTTGACAAGCGATGCTGCAAACTGAATGCAGGGATATGCCTTTGGGCAGCAAACCGGTTTTTTTCCTTGAGTGTTTTGGGGGAAAGGGGTTGATTTCACGTCTGTTTTGGGACTCCCTGTATGTCTTTCCCTGTTTCCCACCACGAAATGTTCGCAACTGTTTGGGAAATTTCGGCCCGCGGCCTTCGGGGCTACAAAGGATCTGCTGGGTGGCTGCAGCAGGCACGAGAGCGCTGCCCCCCCCCGGGGTCCCTCGGCAAGGTGCAACCGCAGTTCGTAGCTTGTCCGCGCCTCGCTGCTGCGACCTGTGTCCCTAAAGCTCCCCGAAGTCCTCCTCCGTATCCGGGGAGCAGCGACCGCAGCCACGCCAGGCGGCGCCCCTCCGCAGCTCGGTGCGCTTGTGGAGGACACGCCGAGGATGCCGGGCCGCCCGCGTCGCCGCAACAGCAGGACGAGGACGAGGACGAGGACGGGGGGGGTCCGTTTTTGCACTTGCGAATCCTTCGCTCTGAGCCGAGACTGCCACGGGGGGAGAAATGGCAACCTCCTCTTCCCGGCCGGCGCACGCCAGGGAGCTCTCGCCACTGTGCCCTGAGCCAGGTGTGCCTCCACGCAACTCCTACTTGCCACAAACCAGGCCACTCCGGCTTGTTCAAGAGGCCACCATCCAAGCAAACCAGCTTCGCAGCCCGGCCGCCGCCTGTCGCAGAAGCCCCGTGCAGCGGCGGCCCGTCCCCAAAGAGCGATCCCCGGGGGGCGGGCCGCGCGCGCCTCCT